GATGGATGGATGGATGGATGGATGGATTGATGGATGGATTGATGGATTGATGGATTGATGGATTGATGGATTGATGGATTGATGGATTGATTGATTGATTGATTGATTCCTAAACAACCGCCCATCCATCCATCCATCCATCCATCCATCCATCCATCCATCCATCCATCCATCCATCCATCCATCCATCCATCCATCCATCGTAGGTAGGTAGATTATTGATCCCAGAGGAAACATCCAGTAACAGCACAACAACATTCAGTGAATAGTTATTTTTTTTAAAAGATGTAAAAAAAAAAAAAGGCACAAATTGAGATAGATGACACAGTGGCACAGTTCGTAGAGCTGTTGCCACTCAGCAAGAAGGTTGCCAGTTCAAATCCTGGCCAATGACCATTCTAGGTGGAGTTTGCATGTTCTCTTTGTGCATGCGTGGGTTTTCTCCGGGTTCTCTGGTTTCCTCCCACAGACCAAAAACATGCAGATTGGTAACTCTAAATTGTCTCTAGGTGTGAGTGAGAGAGTGAATGGTTGTTTGTCTCGTTTGTCTCTATGTGACTCTGTGATGTACTGGAGACCTGTCCAGGGTGCCCTTTGCCTCTCGCACAGTGATAGCTGGACATGGGCACCAGTGATACCCGTGACCCAAAAAGGAAGAAGCGGGTAACAGATAATGGATGGATGGATGGAAGTAAACATATATATATATATATATATATATATATATATATATATACAGTTTCACTTGCAAGAGTGAAAAGTGTCTATATTCAAACGTTACCTGAACGAACTAAAAGCAGAACAAAGTACATGTTAAAATGAAATATTGCACATAAGGTTTTTACTTGTTGAACCTTTTTTGTTTTATGTCTTTTTTTTTCCCAGATGGAAGGAGTTCTCTAGCCTTATGGACCAGGGGGACAAATGAGTTCTCAAGTATCTCTGTTGAGCAGGTTCTTGTGACAGGAGTCTTAACACACTTCCCCTTCTGGTGATCTCATGGGGTTTTGGAGAGGAAGCAGGAAAATTCACCCATGTACAGTGAAACCAAACTTTTCACAGTTGAGATTCAAACTGGCAACCTTTCTTCCGCGAGGCAACGTTTCTCACCACTGCTTCACCGTGCAGCCTCTTCAGACACTGTGTTGATGAACATTTCATTTAGAAAGCAAAAAGCCTAATAAACTTTAAAGTCTCTGATTTGATTGAAAAAAAAAAAGACAAATCAATACACTTTTAAAAAATAAAAATGAAAAATCCATGGAAATATAGCCGTCCTCATTTTGACAGAAAACTCTCAACTCTAAATCAGATTTGCTTTCGTTCAATAAAAGTAATTACAGAGACTTTATACTTTAATGGGATATCTAATCTTTGTCATCACCCGGAGTGAGACGACACACAGGACCACACTCATTGAGACAACGTTCACGTCTTTGCAGAACATCTATTGTTCTGGAGAAGCTGCACAGCTGCAGCACATTTCGTGCAATGCAGGAGCTGAAAGGGGAATCAGAAAGTCCTTTAATGAACCAGCAGTCCGTGTTACACAGTCAGCACAAAGAACAGTGAATGCAACACTCAGCATGTTAAAAAACAATTGAAAAGACTGATGCTGAAACAAGACAACTCTGCAACAAAGATGTCACTGAGCTGCCAAAGACATGAAACATTCGACAAGTTAAAACAAGCGAGATCGAGTTTTTCATATGAATATCGCCCGCCACAGAAACAGAGCGATAATGTTTTTGCTTATGTGCACGTGTGCATGTGTTACTGTGCTTTTGGCAAAACAACTCACGCATCCCTAAACAACATTTTATTGAAACTGCCAAGAAATCATAACTACTGAATACATTTAGGAGTCAACCTGATTCAAGATGGCTGCCACAGCAAGGCAATTTTATCAAACACACAATTGTTACAATTCTGTTAGTTTTACGAACATTGAGCTAAAATTGGCTGCAGTCGTAGCTTGACCATTGTTCTCAAAACATATTACGAGCACTGCACATTTTGCAACTTGTTTGCCTAAACATTTGGCATAACTTATTGGATGCAACCCTGTTTGACTGTTAGCAAAATATCTCATAAACCACCAAACATATTTCAATGAAAGACTCACAAAGTAATTATTCATTGCACATCTACAACTGATTAACTTTTGAAGTCGATGACTACCGCAGCGAATCCACCATAGCCTACACAGAAATGGCTAAACTTCTGTGAATTGTACTGATATTGATCTAAAATTTTGCATGGGAGCTGAGAGTAATTCACAACGCATGCTTCAGATCAGACCATGCAAATGATTGCATCTGATCTTGTGTTTTCAAGTTTGGAACAAAGTGGCTACACAAGAAGATCCAAGTCCATGTGACTCAGGATGGAAGGCGGCGGGAGATATGCAGTCCTTCCAGGAATGCTCGGCCTTTTGTAAGTATACAACTAATGCATAAACACTCAGTAGAGATCATATGATAAAGCAGCTCATAAATCTCAAGCCAACAGACTCATTGCGCATGTCCCAAACTGATAAGGAGATGATCACGTGGTCTGGAGACACAAAGCGCGCTAGTTTAGTAACGTGACAGCTGAAACAAACGATCAAGTGTGGTCTACTTCAAAAGTCGGATATTTATTTCTAGCACGTGAAGGCAGCAAAAACGCCGTGCCCAAAAATAAGTTTTCCAACGGAAATGACGCAGCGGCCGTGCGGCTTTCAAAGCCCATTGAAACGCCCGTTTTTTCTCGTTTTCTCGAATCTGCTCGCTCATGTTTCATTTGTGGAGCATGTCAGCTTTTCCATACTGGTCGAGGGATTTAACCCTTTAACTTGTCCTGCCTTCTTATAGTTTTTCATTTGGTTTTACTTATAAAATTAAGAAAGTAAAGGCGTTTTTCCGCAGCTTTCACTGTAGTAAGCGATCAGGGAGTGGTTCTGTCATGCCTTTATTTATCAGTCAGCCTTTTCCTAACGCATTGAACATTTAAGTGTCTAAATAAATCACCTTTCACAATTTTATTCCTTTAAGCGGGTTTGAAAACTTCTGCAAAGTCAGCGAACCAAGTTTCTCCACAAACTCTTTTTTCCAAAAAAAAAAAAAGTGTTGCCGAAGCTTTCCTTCAGAAATCAGATCCTTACACAGTCT